GGATCGAACCCGGGCCGCACGCATGCCAGGTGAGCGCGCTACCTCTTGAGCCACATCCCCAGCCCCTGGACAACACTTCTTACAAAGGAAATTTCAAAGCAATTCTCATTCTTTGAAGTATTCCTTAATTTACTTAAATAATAGAAAGCTAAAGATAAATTGTTTTTTTTTTTTCTAATTCAACTTTCCCAAAAATAGATGTCAATTCCGCAAATACTTACTGAGCATCTAATATGTTCCAAATTCTTTTCAGGGCATTAAGGATATAGTGGTGAGTAGGAAAGACACACCATTCCTCAGAAACCTAGCATGCTTTTGGAGGAGGGTCTGAGCCCATGACTGGCTGGTGTCTGTGTGCTGACCCAGAGGGATGCTCTACTATTGCTTATGCAGAGACCCCCCCCCACCATGGAGCAGGAGCCCCACCTGTGCCAGCCTCCCGCTTAGTTCTTCAATGGCTTTCCTCAGTCTAGCAGTAGAAAATAAATATTATGCAAACAAATGTATAAACAAAAAAAAATCTACCCTGGGTAGTCTTTTTATATAATTTAACACCTGTATAATGTGAGCAGATAATTCTAGTATAAATAAAATCTTCACTTTTTGATGCACATAGACAGGTAAAAAAGTGACTATTTCAGGCAGTGAAAAGTCTTTTAAGCCTAAATTAATTACACAACTCACATAATTTTAGCATTGCTCAAATTGTAAGCTTCTACTGTAGAATTATCATTTTGGACATTTTCTTTGAAGTATTTTTAGCAAGAATTTATCTATAGAAACTGTTTGGATTCAGATTATTAAAAGGTGTGCTGGGCATCCAGGTTACACCTGGTTAGCAGCAGGCAAGTCCAGCAGGTTGGACATGTTCACTGGCTCATGTCCACCTGCCCCCTTCAAGGGCCAACAAAGCAACATAAAAGATTTAGGGAGCTGGCAGTGGTATCATCAGAAGGAAGAGCCCTGTGGCTTCCGCCCAGAGGCTTGCTGAAGCACATATATTACTACGATGATAAATTGTTTAGAATGCATTGCATGACATTTTCAAAAGTGCCATATTTAGGAACTTAAATAAGCCAGGCATTCGAAATATTAACTATAGTAACATGTACATATTTTTAAAAATTTTAGGTAGTTTAAACCTTAATGTGTTCTTGGTTCTAGCTACAATATTTCTAGTTTCCTGTTCACTTTAAAATATATATAAACATTTGCATACCAAGACTAGCTACTTAAACAAAATCAGCTCCTTTTTCTATATAAACTGTTAAGGCTTTTGATGATTTAATGTACCTGATATCTACTGTGAATTATATTTTAGTTCAGCACACTTTATAAACTACAGGGAAAAAAATGAGGATTTTTCATCATCTATAATGTCTGTAACAGTTAGTTTTTTGTAAACTTGGATCCAGAACTTAGCATATATTTTACTTCCTGGGTAAACATTTTTAAAGAACAGAAAATGAAATGTAAATTTGAGTTATTGTGTGAAAGCCAATTATTATTTTATTTTATAATATATTCAAGTTCTGTACGAAGAAGAAACTAATTTTAGCTGAATTCTTAAGAAAGAAACAGCACTAGCAAAGCTTCTTAAATTAGTAAAATCCAAAAATATACAACTTCCTTCTTTAATCCTGAATTTGTTAGACATTACTTGGGTGTTAATTCCAACGTATGCTCTTAGTTAATATTTAAATACTCTTCTCATTTTATATGGTTTTACTCTTTTGTTCTGTTTATGGTTCTTTCTGAACTAAAGGCAAACAGCATAACTGAGACCGTGGTCAATTCCCGCTGCTTTCCTACCTATGGAGGCTAATCATGAGTCAGTTTGTCCTAACAAAGCCAAGACATTGATTAATTCTCAGACAGACAGTGCCAGTAGAACACAGGCCACCATGCAGCGTTTGCCCACCTGTGCCCGGGAGGTAGGAAGCAGATTCCCTTTGCAGCAGGAGATTCAAGATCAGCTCTGCTGGGAACCGGAACCGGAACTGCAGGGAGGCAGAGGCTGGAGGAACACATGCGATTGGCTGGTGAAATCCGAAATGCATTCAGGGACAAATGTCCTTAAGAGAATCTACATGTCAAAGCTTTAATCAGTAAAGAACTCCCATATCTGATATTCCACGAATTCAAGAGATGATGTCAACTTGAAAAATTCACGTGCCAGCCTCTCTCCACCTCAGGGCTGCCGCCCCTGTCCCTGGGAGCCACTGTTCTGCTCCCTGGCTCCCATGCTGGATGTTTTACTCAGCAGAATGCCCTCCAGGCTCAGTCATGGCAGGATCTCCTTCTCTTTCTGGTTAGATTGGAAGAATGAGTCCAGGAGATCCGCTGCGCGTCACATGGTGACTACAGTTAACCATGACATGTCATGTTCTTGAACATCGGACAGAGAGTGGTTTTGAGTGTTCTCATCACGGAATGACGGCTGTGGGAGGTCAGGCACACACTGACAGCTAGCTGTCCTCATCCTGCACGTGCATGTGCACAGAGAATTTGCACAAGTGTACCTGTCAAGGAGCAGCCCTTCTCAGTGTTCCTGTTCTCAAGACAGTGGGCATCATCAGGAGGAAGAGCCCTGTGGCTTCCGCACGGAGGCCTGCAGAAGCACAGCGTGAGTCACACTGCGTCTACGGGTCATTTGTGGAGACACAATTCACACGCCAGAAAGCTCACCCTTCTGAAGTACATAATCCAGGAGATTCAGCCATCGCCAGAACCTAGTCCCACAGCGTTCCCACCTCCCTACCCATTAGCAGGCACACCCCCTCTCCGTCTCCCCTCAGCTCCATACCATCAATTATGACCCTTCTATCGCCACAGATTTACCCATCCTGGGCATTTTACATACAGTGCATCAGACATAGTGGCCAAATTCTGTTCTTTCAGATACACTTAATCCTACATAGAAGTAAAGTAACATTTGCTTTCATTCACTTAACATTTTAAAAGTTGTATAAGTGAGTTTGTGTATTAGAGAAGGGCAGATCCCTTAGCTAAAGAACACGTTCTATGGTTGGAACCCTTTAAATTTCATAAGGGAAAAGATATCTGGTCATTGATGATCTTACTATTTACTTTCTTTCTTTTAAAATGCAGTACTCTAAGGCATCCCATTGTGACTCTAGTGAATCTGGAACCAAAAATTAGTGAATTCGTTTTCCCGTAAAATTGATTCAGTTGTCAAATTATTTTTGAGGCTCTGCATGAATCATCCAAACCAGTGTTATGGTTTGGATGTGAGATGTCCCCAAAAGCTCATGTGTTAAACAATGCAAGAAGGGTCAGAGGAGGAATGACTGGGTTGTGGGAGTCCTGACCCCATCAGTGAGTTAATCCCCTGTTGGGGAACTGAGTGGTGACTGAAGACAGGTGGGCTGTGGCTGGAGGAGGTGGGCATTGGGGTGTGGCTTTGGGGTCTCTATTTTATTATGGAGAGTGGAGTCTCTCTGGCTCTCGGATCATCATGGGAGCTGCTCCCCCACTACACTCTCCCACCATGATGTCCTACCTCACCTCAAGGCCTGAGGAAGGGAGCCAGCTGTTAATGAACTGAGACCTCAAAACCATGCGCTCCACAGTAAACTCATTCTCCCCTGAAATTGTTCTTTTTTACAGTAGTGAAAAAGCTGACTAAAACAATCAGGGAGGAACTAATACTAACACATATGAAGCTGCCACGTATCCTGTTTAAGGAATGTGTTGGTTCCGTCTCCACCGAGGCTAACTACTGGAAGAAAGGTCATTGTCCTGCCTGATCCAGTGGAAGGTCCTGTGGGGGAACCCTGGAGGCCCCGGAGCAAAGGGGGGGAGGGAGCATCACCAGGACAGAGTAGCCCAGCCCCATGGCAGACATCCCTGCTTTCCTGTGAGAGAAAGGCCCGTGGCCGCCGGGCTGGGTAGTTAGGACCAAAACCCCACCTAGTGATCAGAACTACAAGAACCCGTGCGGCAGTGCCCTGGTAAGCCAAGAGAGGACGAAACCTCCTTTCACAACTGCCTCCTCATCAAAAGTGCGGCTCTTCCTGCCTGGGGTGCTCAGACTCCTCACACCAGAACCTACTGATGGGAACAGAGACAAGAAACAAAGGAAATCCACAGGTGAAGAGCAGGTGGCCCTGTTTCTGCTCCATGCCATCACTTCTCCTCCGCCCCATGCCACCACTCAGTAAACTGCCCCCCTGGGCCAACTGGGTTTGAAGCCAAGGCTTGAGTTACACATGAGATTCCATCCCCCTCTCATGTCATCTCCAACAGTGCACTCTAATGTTGGAGTTCCCATCCATCGTCTTCTTACATTGACATAGTGTCTCTAAGAGACAAACAAAGTATCCAAGACACACGGGGCGTCTTCACCAAGTGCCAGATGACAGCCCTACACATCTAGAGAGGAGGACAGCTCCAAGAGTGGCGATGTGGAGACGAGGACTGATTAATTTTATTTCACCTATATTTCAAGCTCCAGGGAACTTGGGATGCTCTGGGAATGCACTGGTGAGAGATCAAGAGCATCGGTGTTGAAGAACTGTCTGTGGTGAACGGCAACGACCGTCCTCAAAGATGGCCTAAAGCCTAAGGTGCAGAGAGGTTGGTACGAAGAGTTAGGAGGCACATGAGTTCCTATGAATGTTGGCACAGACCCGAGTCCTGAAGAGTAAGTTCGCATTTCTCCAGGAGACAGGAAAACACAAGTCCTCTTACAGAGAAGCAATGACCTACAGTGCAAGGAAGAGAAAATGTCAAGGTCGGAGAAATGCACATGGCTCAGCGAGCCTGGAGCACAACAAGATGCGCATAGGAGCCAGAAAGCAGGCAGGGGCCAGTTCATGAAGGGATTTTTTTCCCACTGATAAATGGAGTTTGTATGTTATCTAATAAGTGAAAGAGCCATTGGAAAAAATTATGGAGAAAGGCACGACAGCCTTGCTCTCCCCTACAAGAGTCATTTGGTAACAGCAGGAAACAGGCTGATGCTGCCTTGCCAGAGGGCCCTGCCGGAGCGCGTCTGCACACCCGCTGCCAGCCGGCAGACCTTTTGCCACGGTTCCAAGATGCCCAACGCCTCCCTCCAGTTGTAAGCCACTCCTTTACTGAGTGCAACTTCATTTAGTTGATTTTCTTTTAAAAATACACTTTCTTGAAGAAGAGAGTGAGGCAATGATTTCCAGGCTGACTCCAGCACCATCTCTCCCTGTGCACCAGCTCCTGGGGCAGCCCTGCTAAGGGGATGGGCAGAGTCCTCCTCCGAGCAGGAGAGCAGGAAGGCTGCAGAGACCCTCACAAGTTAAGTCAACAGGTAAATCAGAACTTCCTGGGTGGAGTGAGGGCCAGGTGCTCATACAGTTGGCCCTGGGGGATGCATGAAGGTGCCAAGCTCCTAGACAGGGTACACAGAGAGGCATCGCAGCTTGGATGACTCCAGCTGGTGTTGTCAGGCCAATCAGGAAATCACAAATGTGTAGCCTTGTCTGGACAGAGAGGGGGGTTAGAGAGGCAGACCTAGAAGCCACCCCGACATGCAGAGGGAGCAGGGAGGGTGCAACCCACAGAAAACAGACAGCGAAAGGGGTGTGGGGAGAGCAGCCACGCAGCACATGTGTGGATTTTTCCAGAATCAGAAAAATCATGGAGGAATGGTGTCCCCAAAGTAAAGGGTGGGGAGAATGTCAACAAGGGGGAAAGGGTAAGCAGCTGCCAATGTTCCTTACCCCGAGTTCAGGGCACTGGTTTTCCCTTGCTACATAGAACATAGAATTGAAGGCTTGTACCAGCCCTCACTGGTTTCCATAGGTCAGGGGTCCGCCCAGGACCTCGGGATGCTGCAACCAAGGTGCCCGCTGGGCACTTGACTCATGCAGAGGCTTGGCCAGGGGACCCCACTCGCAAGCCCACTCGGCTCCTTGGTGTGTCCCCTTAACTTGGGTCTCGTGACCAAGGGGCCTCAATTTTTGCTAGCTATTGACCAGGCCGCTCTGGTCCTACAGACCCTCACAGTTCTCCACTGCTTCCTTGGTGTGGCTTCTCATCTCATCAAGCAAGAATCCCCAATCCAGTGTCCCAAGAAGGAGTCTTGCCTACTGTGAGCTATGGTGCATGGAACAGCCTTTGCCGTAGTCTCTTGGTTAGAAGCAGGCCACAGCTGCTGCCCTCCGTCAAGGGAGGGGTGACAGAAAGGTTTGAATTCCAGAAGGAGAGATCAGGGAGCATGACAGCTGAGTGTGTGCACAACATTCAGGTGGTCTACAAGAACCAGGGGTTTGGTTTGTCTGCTAGGAAATCCCGGGCTCCCAGAAGCATCCCTGTGAGTCAGTGGGAGCAGGAAACAAATCACACTGAGCAAAAGACAGACGGGCGACGAGGAAATGGAGACAGCAAGGACAAACAACCACTCCCAGATCCTGATCCACAGAGGGAAGGGAGAGGCAGTCCTCAGTGGGTGGGTGCAGGAGGGAGAGACCACGTCACACGCATCTCGAATCCTTAGCATCAGCTTGGGTCTGGCAAAGAGCAGCTGTTGATGACCGCAGCCAAGGAGGTCACTGCTGCTCCAGGTGGAGCCAGCTTCAACCAGCACTGTGCGGAGGAGAAGGAGGCAAGGGAGGAGAAGGTCCAAGTCGTGGGAGAAGCTTGGTCAAGGGGTCGGGGGCCCTGGGAGCAGGAGGCCCGGTGCCCGGGCAGTGCCAGAAACTAATCTCCCACTTTCTCACTGGCGGTTGGTGCACTTGCCCCCCCCATTCACAGGCCGAGAAGTGACAAAGGGGCTGCCCCAGGACCTGCAGCCTCCTCCAGGGCCCAGGCTCTGTGGGGCTGTGTCCCTGTTGCCCAGCACAGGCTGGCTGCAAACCTAGCTGAGGTCACCTGCTCTGCCAGCCCTCTAAAGATCCCGTGCCCTGCTCAGCACCACTCTGCCATCTCTGCCCCTCCAACCTCCCTTTCAGCAGTCAGGCCCATCGGCATGCACACACTGTTATTTCTCCCCATGGGGCCCGGGCTCAAGACTGAAACCAACAGAAACCTCTGCTGGTCCCTTTTCCAACTCCAAGGACTTCAGCTTCCTGTTTCTCCTCAAAGAAAAACTCCGAGAGACAATTTCACTCCTTATCTCCAAAGATGCACATATGAATTCTATGTGTCTGTTTGTTCACTTGGATTTTTTAATCAGGATGGTGAAATGTGTGTTCCAGTTGACATTTTACAATGTGGGAAATGCAGGGATAAACATGATCACTCTTTTAGAAAATTAACTTGATTTAGAAGGTGATAACTGCTATCACCTGTTCCCTATGAACCCAGAATCCTGAAGGGAACCAGGTCTATCTGCTCTAGCATCTCAGCGATGTGATCTGTTCAGGCAAGGGCCACACTCAGAGCTGGGACATGTCTCGCTGTCAGGGGAACAGTTTCGTCCAGGGCTGAGCAAGCAGATGGTGCTGTGCACATTGTTGGGTGCAGAATTCCCAATGTAGACCCTCCTGAACAGGGATCATCCGCCCACACTGCTCTACTCAGAGAAAAGACCCTGATAAACTGCAGGCTTTGAGTTGTCAATCTTA